CATTTTAAATATTGATAAAAAGCACCTGTCAGTTTCTGAAACAAACAAACAAACAAGCAAACAAGTAAATCTTGTTTGGAAAAATCACTTTGGGTTGAGGCAACTGCCAAAGAATTTACATACCTGCACACCATCTACAATTGTGAAAGGTCAGCAAAGTCCTATTTTTACTCCTTTTTACATTTTTATACCATTTGGGGAAATCCTTAAACTTCCAATACTGGGGAGCATTACGGTTTCCCCCTTATCTCTGAATTCTTAGAATTGCAGAAAGCACACATTTTTACCTAGTTTGATTTCAAAGGGGCTTATAATGTAATTTGCTTGAAAGAAAATCTTATTGTTCTATAGTCCTTGATATTATTATGAGAAGTTGGAATATAGTTATACCATTCATACAGTTTCTTTGTCTTCATGAGTTTTATAAATTGTATTTATTAAACCTGTTGGACATATTTTTAATTGCTTATTTGGATTGATTGATCCTTGACCTATAAGGATCTAGCTATTTACATCAGATAGCTTTTGTGGTTCTTCGGTGACTTTTACATTAAGCTAGAGAAACATCTTTAATTTGCCAGCCTTAGTTTAGAGTATTTCCTCAAAGGGAAATACTTTCTGCGAAAGCTGAGCTATTTTATCTTGGAAAATCCCCGCCTCCATACATATGGGTGCTCAGAGTGTAATGTGATACTTTTTTTTTAAACCAATTATCTCCAATTCTGTGCACTCATCATCCCGATCTTTTGTCATATGAGATTGGTGTTCCAGAGATATTTCCTCTTACTCAAGTTGACTTTCATTTCTCAGCTCATTCTCTGGCCTCTAGTTCAGGAGTTCCCAACCCTTGGGCCACGGACCGATACTGGTCTGTGGACTGTGAGGAACTAGCTGGAGGTGAATGACAGGTGAGCGAGTGAAACCAAAACCATCCTTCTCCTCCCCCCCCCCCAATCCATGGAAAAATTGTCTTCTACGAAACTGGTCCCTGGTGCCAAAAGGAAGGCTGATCAAATCTGTATTCCAAAATAGAACCCATGTATGCAGTCTCAAATAGATTACCTATCTGATTATTTCATTTCTTCTCTCTCTCTGTCTCTCTTTGTCTCTCTCTGTCTGTCTCTCTCTCTCTCTCTTTAAGAATGGGGAGAAATAAGTACAGGTAGTCTTCGACTTACAACAGCACATTTAGTCATCATTTGAAGTTACAACGGCACTGAAAAAAGTTACTTATGACCTTTTTTCGCACTTACGACCATTGCAGCATTCCCATGGCCACATAATCAAAATCTGGGCTCTTTGCAACCGGCATATACTTGTGACAGTTGCAGTGTCGTGGAGGTCATATGATCACATTTTGTGACCTTCTGACAAAGTCAATGGAAAAATGACCTTGTTACTAACTTAACAACTGTTGCAAGAAAGGTTGTAAAATGGGGCAAAACTCACTTAACAAATGTTCCACTTGGCAACAGAAATATTGGGCTCAATTGTGGACGTAAGTTGAGGACTACCAGTAATAGCAAGTAGTTATACAATTTCTTTCTTTGAGAAGGATGTCTCTCAATTCTGCCATAACACCCTGCCAACTGAAAATTTTTGAGTATTAAAGTAATCCTCCTTTTGCTCCATGTCTTTGGATGATGCAAAGCAATATAGAGCTGACCTTGAGAACAGAAAAATGAGTGAGATGTTGGGGGGGGGGTGGAAATCTGTGAAAAGATTATTCGGTTGTGAGAAAGAGGAGGAGACAGTGAAAAACTCAAAATTTTAATGTGCAATAATATAGTACTTTTTTGTTTTCTTCCATTCAATAGTATCCATCTCTTGGAGTCTGCCTGGATAAGTATCTGCCATTTTCTTGGAAAATTTTTTCGGAAGTGGTTTGCCAAAGCAGGACTAAAACTCACAGTCTCTTGTATTCTAGCCTGAAGCCTTAACCACTACTCCAAACTAGCTGTCTATATAGTACTACCATACTGCAATAAATTTTATTTCTGGAATTCTTGCTTTGCCTATTTCTTAACTTCACTTATCTCAGAGGGTTGAAACATGTTTTCGTGTTCCAGCAAATATCAAGGCTTTTAATTATTTTTCCCCCTAGCTAAACTTTGGGACAAAATTTATTTAGTCTATTATTCTTTCTCCATATATTAGGCACAGAAAGTCACTTTGACAGTAAATCATCTTTACTAAGTCATGTTATTTCATTCCTTCTCATGGCTTTCCCATTGTTCCTGAGACTGTCCATCTGATTATTCGCCAAATCTTCACTTCTTGCTCAATCATCATTAGATCAATAATTAACAGCATGCTTTTGGAATGTATTATTTCAGATATTGTTTGTTAAATTCATCTATTTTCAACCTCTCATCCACAATTGTATGGTGAAATACAGTGGATATATGCCACCTTGGAGCAATACTTTCATTGTTATGTAAATTATTAGCAAGTTAACTGCCTAAACTTTTATTTATAGTTGAATTCATGCTTCTATTGGTTGTCTCCAGGCTATCTATGGCTACTCATCCTCCTGTTACTGAATACTATCCAATTCTTACCCATTTTAGAGTTTTTTTTTCCTCTAGAAATCACAATCCACTTTGTGTCTCCTCAAGGAGTAGCTAAATTGAGCCAAAACATCCTACAAGCACTCTGTTAACCATCATCACCAGGAAGGTCTACTCATGTGGTCACTGTCCATATGGCTTTCTACTCTACTGGACTGCCTGAATTTCCCTCTTGATAGCTCCTGAATGCTGTTTGTTTCCAAAGAGAATTTTATTACCTTGTCTTGGATGAAGCTCTGACACACTTTTAGTGTTATTATAATTCCCACTACATTATTCTTCATACTGTTTATTTTTAAAATACATATATAATGATTTAAGGAAAATATACCCTTTCACTAAGTATTTTCCACATACGAACAGTTATATGCACCTTTCAAAGAAGAGAAATACTTCAAAAGATCATATCTCTTTGCAATATAGCTTACTAGCCTCCTCCATTGATTCCATTTTCAAGTCTTCTCAATTGGAGGTATATTTTTATTGGTCTTTTCAAATACAATTCTTAAATTATTTTAGTGGGTGCATTTAAGTCTGGATCCAGATTTAGTTGGACTTAGCACCTGTTGAAATTATTGTAACATTTTCCAGGAAGGAACTATACTTTTGTGTTTCAGATGAAACCCATTTTTTTTCAGTAGTGTAATATGCAAAATATTTCATGGTTGAAATGTGCCAAATTGGAACTCCCAATCCAATTACAATATACTATAATGACCTTGGAATGGGCCATTATAAATCTACTGAAAATGACTCCATCTCAAAAGTATTTGGGTTGGCCTGTGTTAGAGCAGTATACTCAGAATGTTCCATCCCCAAGTCAAAATGGAACCTTCCATAGGACCACAAAATATTAAACTATTTATGTCATGGGTGTAGGACATGAAGCACATTGTTTACATTATGAATGTATTTGGATGATTGCACAATACTGAAACTGCAAGATCAAGACTGCTCATTTCAAACAATTGCATTAATTCCAATACATTTACTGTAATTTAAAAAAAACACATTTTTATTAATTTTCAATTTCTTATGCCATCTTTTCTGGGGATCTCTTTTCATTCATTCATTCATTCATCCATTTCATAAAATGTATGTCCTGAATTTTCTTTATTTGTTTTTTGTAATAATTCTAAAGTTAGTTGGGGGTGGATGTGCTTTAAGCAAGATAATCACTCCTGTAATACTATGAGAAAGTTCACTAGTTTATCCTATTATAAAAGTTACAGGCGCATTCCTTTAGTAGTGTCTCTCAAATAAAATTAATAATCGTCTTTGAAACATGTACTTGGCATAGTACAAAGCCAATGTTATTTAGAAAACTTGTGATAAAAGTATTCAGGAAGAACCATGATTTTGGAAGTGAAATAGCAATATAAAACATCAATTATATATCAGTTTGTTGTAGTGGTTAAGGCTAAAAACCAGGAGACCATAAGTTCTAGTTCTGCCTTAGGCACAAAGCCAACTGCATAACTTTGCGTCACTTTCGCCCAGCTTTATGAAAAAGGCAAGAGCAAACCACTTCTGAAAACCCTTGCCAAGAAAACTGTAGGGGCTTGTCCTCAGACACACCTGAACGGAAGAAAAGTGAGGGAGGGGGAACACTGAGCAAATGTGGACAAGATGGAGCATGTGCTCCATTAGTGATGCTGTAGTCATGTTGCTAAGATATAATCCACCCTTACTCATATTTAACTTTGCATATTGCCTCCAAAGGGATAGTTGTACAGCTGAGTTCCAAAAGATCCAATCAATATCTTCTCCACAATTAAAAATGCCTAAGGTGACAGATAGAAACCATTATTAAACCACACTAAAACAAAGTCAGTACTGTACACAAGCTATGCATCTCAAAAGGCAGTCTTTGATGTAGCTTTCATCACCTAACTTTCCTAGAATTTCAGGCCAATATGTGGCTGCATTTCCAATATATTTGGTGACCATTAGCTTGTATTACTGCAGAATAGGTACTCATGGACAATTTGGAACTTTTAGTACCTAATTTATAGCCCCAGACTGGCAGATATCCAGCATTTCAAACTTTGGGGCTTTTTGGGGAAGGAGGTGTTCAAAGGATAGAAGTGGTGTCTTAAAATTATAGAGACTAACAATAGCAATAACATCCCTTCAACCCTTTTTTAATTTCCACAAAATTGGCTGCTTTTTTTAGGGTTAAAGGGCAATAGTAGTGCCTTGAAAATTGTTCTAAAGCTAGTGTGTATTTTTTTTTAATTGCTGCTCTGCTAAGATTAGGCTAAGAACTAGTTGTTGACTCACAGCATAGGGTAAGGTGCACCAATTCCGGCTGTCAGGTGCCTGGTGCGTGTTACACCTCCTCCTGCAGGGAGGGAGGGAGACTGGCAGGCATATGTGCATTACCCAAGAGCTATGTTTAGTAACTTGTCTCTTCCTGTTTGTTTCTAGCATCCTTGCAACAGCAGGAGCACATTTTAACACCCATGTGGACCTGCGGACTCTGCGGGCAGTACGCGTGCTCAGACCCTTGAAGCTTGTCTCAGGCATTCCTAGTAAGCATCTGGTTTATCTCCCCCACCTTGCCCTACTGTTGTTCTCCTTCCTTGCAGAGCAGTGTTGGTGTTTCCAATGGGCATCTTTATTTGCTATAGGGGTATTCTGTTAGAATCCGAACATTTGTATACAATTCTAGACTGACATTTAGGAAATTAAGTGACATTAAGTAAAAATACTGATATTAAATAAAATATATCTTCAACAATCAGAATGCCAGCCTTCAAGTTCCTTTGATCCTGAGATCCAGGAAGTCTTTTGTTAGATCAGTAAACTAAGGGGGGGGAACTGACTTGGTTAATTCTGAATATACTTATAAGGTGATGCTGAAAAAGGAGAATGCTGAGAAGAATTAGTAATCCATCTATTTCTCATGTGTTTAGAATACTATATGCATACAGTATATAACTACTTGGTGATTTTACCAGATTACCATATCAGTGCTGCCCAAATTGATCTGAAATCTAATGAATTAAGATAGTATCAGGGGTGGCAATTATGACATTTTAGCTGGCTCTGACAAAAAGGAGACATATTAAGGCAGTCTAATAGTAAGGTGAGCTAATAAGCCATTAATCAATTAATGGTGCTTTGAGAAGATTTTCAGTCTTACTCGATAACGATTGCAGGTAGTCCTCATGTAATCACTTGGTCCGCAACTATTCCAATTTCCACTAGTGTTGAAAGAGTGATACTTACTGGACCTTGAAGTTCTGTCTGTTGCATATTTCCCACAGTCATGAGATTGCCATTGGCAACCTTCAACACTTGCTTCTGACAAGTGAAGTCACTGACGAAGCTGGCAGGAGATTGCAAATATTGTCCATCTATTCATGCTCTTAACAATGGTGTGGAATTCACTTAATGATGGCAACCAGAACTGCCATGGCTAAGCGGCACTATCATGTGATGTTGCACTTTTCTGACCATGTTGCTTAACAACAGAAACTCCAGTTGCAATTGCCATAGTTAACTGAGGACTACCTGCACTTTTTTGCACTGAGGAAAAAAAGCCAGAGTTTTTATTTTGGATTCAGAGGAAATTCCTGAGAACCAATGACTAAAGCATTGGACTTGCATTGGGGAAACACAGGTTTTAGTTCACCCTCATCCATGAAAATTTACTGGGTGATTTATGGATAAGTTATTGTCTCTCAGCCCAACCCACCTCACAGAGTTAATTGTGGATAGGAAAACAGCACTTTCAGCTTCTGAATGAAAGGTGAGAGACCACCCTAATGAAGCATCCTTACCAGTTCTGACTCAGCAATTTACAGTTGTTCTGCATTGTGCTGCAAAATTCATTGTGCTGCAAAATGTGCTGATCAGTGCTTTTTTTAAATTGCACTTTTCTCCTTTTCCTTTTTTCAAGGTTTACAGATTGTACTAAAGTCCATCATGAAGGCAATGGTGCCTCTGCTTCAGATTGGTCTCCTTCTCTTTTTTGCAATCCTGATGTTTGCCATTATCGGCCTGGAATTTTACAGTGGAAAACTACATCAGGCTTGCTATGTAAACAATTCAGGTAAGAGGTATATGTTGTCTCTTTTTTGATTGCATTCTAGCCCTGGAATTTTAAAATATAGCGATGGATCTAATTAACCTACAATGCTTCAGAAAGATTTGTTCTGTAGGTCTGAACATGCCCTCTGGGGCAAAAATACTTACTGTAATTTAAGCAGCAGAAATGGTTTGAAAACAAAACATGATTTTTGTTGTTGTTGTTCCCCATGGCCTGTTAACCATGAATCTTGAATACTGCTGTTCACGTTTGTGTTTCATGCTAACTCCTGATGATACAAGGCAAAATAGTAGAAAAATAAAATCCAGATTAAAGTGTCCTTTTTTACTTTTCTTTCCAGTCTCCTCATTTGTCCCTGGCAATAGTATCTTTCCACACTCAGGCCAGATCTTCTCTAAACTCAAGATGTAAGAATAGCTCAAACCTTTAACTGTCATATTAAAGAATAAAATAAAGAATGAATATTTAAATATTTTTTTAAATTTCAGAATTTTTTTTAGTGTAGTGTAGTGTAGTGTAGTACAGTACAGTACAATACAGTACAGTATAGTATAGTATAGTAATATATAAATACACAGCCAACCTGGAAGACCACAAGTGCTTCATCAAATTCCATAGACAAAACTCTCTCACAGTTACTGTTTTTAAGCCAGGTCTCACCCAATCTGTATTTGTACCTTTGATTTTTCCTGCCTAAATGTAAAACTTTGCTTTTCTCCACACTGAAACTAATTTTGTTGGGTAGGGCCCATTGTTCAAGTTTGTCTAGATCTTTTTGGATCCTGAGTTTGTCTTCTGGGATGTTGGCTACTCCTGTCAGTTTGGTATCATCTGCAAATTTGATGACTTCCCCTTTAATTCCCTCATCTAAGTCATTTATGAAGATGTTGAAGAGTACTTCACAACCCTCGCAAACACAGAACATAATCTGTATCACTTTTTCCTATTTGTTATTCCCTTTCCACCTACTCCTATATACATATTTCTGGAACGTTTTCCCTTAATTTAATTTAAATTTTTATTTATCTCAATTATTTATTTTAGCCTAAAGGAATTTTGTGAATTATTAGATAGTCAGCACCAAGAAAGATGTTTGTATTGGGAGAGATCTATATTTTTTCCCATTTTTAAAAAATGGATGCCATTCCTTATGGCCAAAGTTAAAATGCTAGATTTGGGAACAAAATCTAATGCTAGGATTTGCTAAACCTCCGTGAAGGAGATATGGTGTGTTTCAGTGTGCTTACTAAAGAGATACCTTCTTTGGATTTTTGCAATAGAAAAGCTATAGAAATGTAATACTTTCTTAAGATCAACTGAACTGTCACAATAATTACAAATACTATGCACAACTCCCAAAGGAATCTATTCCATTTAGCTATTTTTAATTTTTTACAAAACTTTTTTTTCCAAATCTAGTGGAAAGTTGAAAAAAATATGCAGAGATGCTCGGGAACTGTCTATGAGCATACACATTCTCTAAACAGTGAAGAAAACAGAACCAGATTTGGGGTAGGGGGAGAAATCAGCCCCCCCAAAAGTTCCAAGTTTTAAAATGAGCCCAATCAAGCTGGGGACTGCAGAAAAAAAATACTTGCAAATGGTGGGATTTATGTTTTCCCACCTTTTTCAAGAAGGATAGAAGTGTTAAGATTTGGGAATGACGTATTTGGGTGTCTCTTTCAGCAGAATGATAAAGACAGGTGAGCATGCTCTCCTTCTTTATCCTCCCATGCATATATGATCAAGACTGGGCTTAGCCCTAAAACAATACTTGATGCTTGGACAAAATTTCTAAACTTCTATCTCAGTGAATCCATTTGCTGAAAATTTTCAGCTAAAAAAGTCTTTATTCTTCTATGAATACACCTCTGTTGTTGAGAATTGCTCAGAGCCAGCTTAGATAAATCACTGACATTAATATTTGATGCGACCTGATAAGGCATCTCAACATTGAATGATGAGGCTACTGTGAAGATAAGGAACATCTTTGTTATTACTTGATCATGGATTGTGTGCCATGAAGTCATTTTCAGAGGTGACTACTTAGATAGAACTTCTTCATGAGGACCCATACCTAAACTATTCTTCGAAGTATCTCAGTGGTGTACTCACTGTTGCTATATTGTAGTCCAGCTATCTTGCTGCTGGTTGTCCAGTACTGATCTAGTTCCATTTTCTAGTACAAGAAGTTCTGGTAAATAAGAAGTATTTTCTAAGGTATCTTGGATGTTAACATCTCGTTTCACATTCAACTTTAACAACTTTTTAAAGTTCATTCCATGTTTCTTCTGGTTCTCTTTCAATGAGCAAATAGCATGTTCTTTCTCAGTAGCATCCAAACTGAGGGGCCCATCATCCAGCACTATATCGTCATCATTTTATATTTTCTATTCACATAGGTTTTTTTGGTAAAATGCAGGAGTGGTTTATCATTGCCTTGTCCCTTGCAGTGTACACTGATGCCTTTACCATTGTCACTAAAGTGGGCATTTGCCTCCTGCATCTTCCTTTATAGGGGCCTGCTTGGACAGTTGGGATAACCTTCATGCCTTGGGTGACCCTGCTGGGAATATGCAGTCTTGGCATATACTTCCAATGTTCTTCATTCATCTAAGAAACCCATGAGGAGGCAGCACAGCAGAACTGGAGGGAGGGGTATTTGCTAATTATTTACCTTAGGAATAAGCAATGTCCAAAAGTAGTGACCAGAAACAGAACATGCTTATATATGCTCTCCTTTAGGGCCATTATACTAACTAAGAAGAAAAGATCAGTACAACAGTCAGGTGGAAAGATCAATACTACTGCTTCTATCATTAGAGCTAAGAATGTCAAAAATCAGCAGTTCCTTGGATCTTGGCAGTGTGAACACCTTTGATAGTGACCTAGCTGATCACCATGCAAGGAACCCAAACTTTCCTGGGAGAGAGGAACTATAGATACTCAGTGTCAGGCACAAATTGCAATGCTAGACTTGGACCAGGTAGCTGGATAAATGGGGCCAATTGTGCTTTCTCAAGCCAGCCCACTTCACAATGTTTTTGTGCTGATAAATTGGGAGGAGGGGAAATCCTCATGTTCTTCACCTTGTGCTGTTCAAGGAAAAGGCAGGATATAAATAAAATGAATACATATAGAAGCTTCCTGTTTTATTGTAACTTTCTTGGTCGACATTGCTCCTTTACATATATGTATCTTAAAAATGATTTCACCTCTGTCTGATTGCAGGTGAATTACAAGAGCTGGACCCGCCACATCCCTGCGGGGTGCAGGGATGCCCTGCAGGTTATGAGTGCAGAGACTGGATTGGTCCCAATGATGGGATAACTCAGTTTGACAACATCCTCTTTGCTGTGTTGACTGTCTTCCAGTGCATTACCATGGAAGGATGGACTACAGTGCTGTACAATGTGAGTAAGACAAGTGAGGAAATAGAGGGCTGGTGCACAATTACTTCATTGGATATTGTTTCTGATTGGTTACAATTGACCAATCATTTCATTACATTTCTCACTGTATCTCATATGAGCACTATGTTTCAATTCTCATGCATTATTTTAAAAAACAACACTTCTCCTTTTAACCATAACTTTTGATACAGTAACACCAGACTGACATCCAATTTCCAAATGTTATCAGTTCAAATAACATTTATTGTTTGCAATGTATAAATCTTATCCTACTAATTTCCAGACAAAAGTTATTGGCCGTTAGGCCAGCACTGATCCATCTAAGTCACAGATCTTGGCAAATCATTTGTTTGCCAGCATCCACTTACAGAATAATAAAATCCCACCCTACATATCAGAGTCCCATTTTGTGGTATTGTATCATGATATCAATTCTATTGAAAAGTTACTGTATTATTTTCACTTTTCAGCTGCTGCAAAGAGTCCTTACCACTTCTTTCAGGACTATCACTGTTGTTTCTAATCATGAATGTGACAGAATCAGTTTTAATACCTGCACTTGAGTAGATATTTTTTTCTTTCTTTTTCTACCTTTGCTATATGGCATGCTCTATAAACCTGTACAGCTGCTGTCAAAATATTGGCCTAGCAGGAACTCACAAGGCATATAAGTTTATAACAGAAATTAAGTTTCTGACAGAGTAAATCTGTTGCAGGCAAGCAGAGTTGGTAATTATCTAAATGAAAGCTTTGCAGCATTCTCCATCAATTTTTTCTTGTCCCTTCCCATTGCCTCCTCCTCTTCCTTGTCATGAACTGCACAACTCTGTGTATTGAAGCAGAATAATTGCATTATAAGTACTTGACATAACTCCTATAGAAATTTGATCATGTAACTGTGCTTAAAGGCCTGGCAGACGCCCACGAGTGTAGGCAGTGAGGAAAATATCGCTTTTAATGATGGTGTTGAACTTCAGCATAGTGGCGATGCTCTTCCTGATGGGAAGGAATGGTGCTACCAAGTCCTGCATTAATACTTTCCCCTTTTTTTAACTGGGAAACAAAACGATTATTGGTTCCCGCTGCCTGTGCTATTGCATATAACTGCAAATACCAGCCCTTGGCAATTTGGCAGAATTAGAGATTAATGATTAGGGTTCTGTCTGCATGTGAGAGACAGAGAGATTGCACTCTGACATGCTGCTTTCAGTTTTGAGACTAGAAGTAAAATGATGTTAAAATAGGTTTATTATGCTTTATTTATCTGATGATAAGGCTATTCCCTTAGATCAATACTTGGGCAGAAAAAAGATTACGAACACGAACTCTGTATACTGCAACTTCTCTAATATGTCAGCTAGGGTGGCTGACTTTGGCTTTTCCCTCAGGAGCTGGACCAGGAGGTTCATGGAGTTGTCATAATGCAGTGAATTTATTTGGACTGTAGATACTATTTTTTCACTTAAGTAATTTTTAATTACTGTGTGCTGTTTTTAGTTTTGTTTACCACCCAGAGTTCTTTTTAGTAGATGGACAGACAAATAAATTTGTTAAATAAATAAATAAAGCTACAAAAGTGGATAGCAGCAAACAGATACAGAAACTCTTTTGACCATATAATAGATATCAGAAGTTTTGGAAGACTGATATAGGAATGATAACAAAGAAATATAGATACAGCAGAAACATTGTATTAAGAGCCATGGTGGCACAGTGGTTAGAATGCACTATTGCAGGCTAATTCTGCCACCTGTCAGGAGTTCGATTGTGACTCAGCCTTTCATCCTTCAATAATTAGAGAGTGTTATTGCTAAGCGCTATTACTATTGCTATTCCATGAGTTTAATTCCCAGATAAATACATTTCTGTTATGCCAGGAATGGACCTATTAGTTCATGTAAACTAGAGATGAAACTGGAGTATAGAAAAACCTCATTTAGTGACTGCCTAGTACAGAGTGACTGCCTACTCCAATTTGAAGAGACACTTGTGCGGCATGTTGAGGCAAAGAGGCAGTCCCAGAACCAGCAAAATCTGGGATCTGGACAAGGGACAGGTTGTATCTGCCCTCAGTGTGGAAGGGACTGGCATTCTCGAATTGGCCTTTTTAACCACACCATGTGCTGCCTTAAGACCTCTTTCCAGAGCATAGTCTTTTGAGACTGAAGGATGCCAACGATGTACAGAGAATGTTTGCAGTTATGATGCTAATGAAACAATAACTTTGCTACTAATCCTTGCATTAATAACCTCTGCAGGTCTGTAAAATAAAAGAAAGCTGAAGTAAGATTATAAGGACAGCGTCAATGCCTAGACTGAGCCTGAGGGAGGAGTCAAACATGTCATCAGTCTTGAATAATTTTGCTTCCACGAGAAATCTAAGCCCAGCCCACCTTGAATTCTATTAACTCTTATTTACTACCATTTTGCTTTGTCCATTAGTAGTTCAATTCTTCTAGAGAGGTTAAGCTCATTTGAACTGTGTGGATTTCCTGATTTCCATGCTTGACAGATTGGCATGATTTCACTTAGCAGCTGCTTCATTAACGATCAAATTGCAAGTCCCTATTGTGGTTGGTAAATGAGGACTACCTGTATCCAGTTTCTCTCTATGACAGGAAGAATCAGTCAATCAGTCTGTATAGAAGGACTAGTTTCACTCTCTTTCCATTCTACTTGATATTTCGTCTATGGAATTAATGAATGAAATGAATTTTTCTTTGTGGAAGTTTTCCACTGATGTTGCATCCTGCTTTTCCAAAGTCCTCATTTGTATAGACGGTTTCCATGGATAAAAAAGGCTCTTCATTGCCATAATAATCTTTTGATGGGGAAGTGAAAAGAGGAAGAAGCCAGGTCCTCTTTTTTTCTTCCATTTCTCATCTCCTGCCCATTTACTAGCTTTTATGAATTTGATTATTAAAAGGATTATTCCCTAAATTCATAAGTAATTTTTTTAGAGAGAAACTTCATCTTCCTTTCCAGTAAATGCAGTAACTCCATATTTTGAAAACTGAGATTTGCAGGTAAAATTTTCATTGCCAAAACTCAAAACATTGTACCATATGTGTACTGTATATTGAATGGGGCAATTTAAATATATTTGAATGAGGCTATTTTGAGACCGGATACCATTTCTGCTTTGACATATTCAAGTTATTTCTGTTTGGAACTGCATAGAGTGGGTAGTTTGGATGACTGGAGGAAGAAAGTGATCTTTTTCTAAAATAATTCATCAGTGTTATTTTTATACTTTACATTTTTACTGAAGTGATTTTTTTTGTATATAAATGTAAAATAACTGTACGTGGAATATAATGTCCTCTTTTCACATTCATTATTCCACTTTTCTATCTTTGCTTATAATTCCCATTAATAATTACTCATCCTTTTTTTTCTCTGCTCTAGAGAAAATAGATACAAAACGTATAGTTACATACAGTAAGTCATCCAACTGGGGAAGAAACTCAAACTGCCTCTATTCATCAGATGGGAATTCTCAGTTAGACTGTCATCTACTTTAGGTCAGTTACTTTGAATTTAAGAAAAACTGCAAAAATTACATTTTCTTTTTGCAGAAACCCTTAATATGTTTTACATTGACCTAAATATAGATGGGCATTTTGGTTAAAGTGGAAAAAATATCATGCTTCTGAAAAACTGGGAGGAGTTGTGATTTCTGGAAGGATTAAAGTGATACAGTATGTGCAATGAATTTATTCACCTTTCAGGCAAACCCATAGTTTTCCCTGGTTTCTCTTTGCCCTGTTAAATTCATCATTTGTATTTGTGTTGAATCGATCTGTCTATATGCTACTAAAACTGTCATTCCTATAAACTTTAACTGGGGCGAAATGGTGAATCACAGGGCAACAATTTTTGAACCAATGCATTTTAGATGCATTCTGCTAATTTACAGAATGCATCTAAAATTAGCGACCAATGACTCCCATTGAATTGAACTTTGGCAAATTTTATAAACCTTATCATAAAACAGTTTATTATTCCAAAAGAGCACAAAACACTCCTGTGCTGATGTTTGATGATGCTATACAATTCAACATGAGCTGTTTTTCAAAGCAGATAATCCCAACATTTCCAGTGAAGGCAATGCATTAGAAGTTGGTCACTGTTGAAGATATTGAGGAATCTGATAATAGAATATCTCTCAAAGGATGACCCAACGAGTCATGGGTTATCTAATGTAACATGTATTCAACATCTGCCCTTTAAGTACTGCTTCTTCTCAAAGGATTTGCAATTGACTGGAGCCTTACTTGGGCAGGAGACTGAGGTGTGATTGATTTGGTGAAACTGAATGCATCACTTCACTCTAAAGTAGGAGACACAATTTCTGCTACATGTAGAAATTCTATGCAAGTAAAGAATAGTAAATAAAAGAAAGATATATTAGCATGTCTACTTCCAATGCTAGTCGTCCCTAGTGGGACCCATTACATTAATCTAAAGACCACTGTTTGGCTAGTTTTCAAAATGCCAGAGGATGGGAGTCATATAGGGAGAGAGTATTTCATAAAATGGGTATTGCTGCTATCTAAGTGCTTTGGTGGTAGCAAACTCATGAAACAAGAAAAAACTTGGATTTCATGAAAGTCTTTATTGCTAGCTGAGTAACTTAACAGAATCTTAAAAGCCTGCCAAAGCAATTCTCCAAATCATCTTATATTTAGAAAATGTAAGGTGGGGTTTGGGGGAAATAAGGTGAGTCTTTCTTACACTTTCCCCCCTCTTGGTCTAAGAAAGTTTTTCTGCAATAATCCTATTCCCTTTTCCATACTTGAAGGGTCTGGTGGACATTCCATCACATGGCAAGCCTATTGCTGGCTTATACCCTATGAACCAACCATAGATGGTAACCTGCCATAGTCCCTCTCCTGGTGACCAGATCAAATGGACAGATTCAGTTGCCTAATGTCTCCTGGTGCTGCAGGAAGCTTCATAAAGGTGATAACTAGGACTTTGAATTGGGTCCAGGCAGC